CATAAGGGTGAATTATTTATAGCTTGGTGGGCCCATGACACCTCAGGTCACCAAGGAAGAGATGCAACATACAGATGGGCTCATGATCAAGGGGTGGAAGTGTTCGACTAAGCAAGACTGCTCTGGGTACAGGTGCTGCAACAGTAGTTGCCTTGTTTCAGCTCCCTTCCACCTCTTAGCTCTGTTACAGTGGCAGCTTCATGAAACGGCAGGACTGAATCTGTCTGTCTGTCAATGTGACCTAGAACACCTGGACATTGCCCTTTCCATATTGGCTACCATCAGGATAGCACTGCTTGTCCCACCTGGCTCCATCAAAACAGGCACTGGCAAGACTAAGGGATGCCAGCAGAAGATCTGAGGCTCAAAGGTTCAAGGAAGCACAATTCTTCTCTTTCTGGTACACCTCCCTGAGTGCATGGCATGGAAAACCAGAGAGTCCAGAGGAGTCATGAAAGAGCACCGTAGGCTAGGCGTGCCAAATGCTGAACCAATTATTTGAAGAAGCCCTGACGGACTAGGGAGGTGTCATGGGAAAGGGATGTGGGCACAATTCAGTTTGCTAGTTACACTGATGGTTTTTTTATGTGAATGAATCAGCTTTCCCTAGCATCACCAAAAGCAAAATACTTAAATAAAGTATCTAAGCAGTGCTAGCATAGACAACTAAAAGCTAGCTCTTGTCAAATCAGCAGAATTCTGGGACTGTAAGAATTCAGGGTGATAAATATGAGAGGAATGAGAAGAGAGGTAACTACTGCCTGTGGACCACTAAGGAGTTAGCAGGAGATGGGGTGGGTAGAAACTGTGCTATAAAATGTCTGTATCTTTCTGAAGTCCACAACAGCTCTGACTCTAGTGAAGTTAGGAGCTTTAGTGCCCAGGCTCACCCTTTGAAGGTACTTTGTGGGTCCTTCTTATTAAGGACTGAGAGGTTAATCAGAGGTTAGTGGTTCTGTTAAACAATATTGTCTGTTAGTTTTAATTTCTGGCATTTATTGACTGTGTGAGTTTATGCCCGTGTGTAATGGTCCCTTGGTTTTGATCATATAATTTCCATGAGTATATCTGGTGCACTGCTAATCATAACCAAGTTAACTGAAGAGGCAATGTTCCCAGATAATATTTAGCTTGAAGCTTGCTGTATTTGTGTTAGATCTGATGAATGACTTTGTTGCATACTTCTCCCAAAGCAGATGATTTAACAAAAGATATTGCTTCTCCCCACAACCATTGCCTTAAATGACTGTAGCTACACCACTATTACTATTCGTGCTACAGTAAATACATCGTACTCCTCCAGGATCTTTCATCTGAATGTTTCAGTCACTGCAGCAGAGTATACTGTGGCTATACATGTGAACATACACGTACATTTGGCAACAGCCTAGCTAGCTTGGATACCGTTAGTGTGCCCTGCTAACCCAGACTTCCAGAAACTCGAAACCCTCAAGATCTGTAGGTGGGCTGGGTTACAGAAGCTGACCTCTTACTGCCTTGGCTGTGCTCCTATCAGCACAACTAGTCCTTTAGCTGAAAGTCACTTCTGGTATATATCTACATACTGCCAATGACCGCAGGGTAATCCTGCTAAAAGAAAGACCTCTGGAGTCTGCTTTTTGTTTACTGTGATTTAAATAGAAAAAAAAAAATCTTAAAACTTCATAGAGCTTATGTAGAAACCTCTCCTACAGAATCCCCCCAAAAGTGCAATCAAAACTTTAATGATCGAATGCATCTGCTTTGGAGTAGAAGTGACTTGTGTTATTTACTGCTAATACTTTCTGTGGGGTAACCTGAAGATGGAAGGTAGGAATGGAGTGAGGAGCTTGTGTAACGAAGTTATCTTTGGCTGTAGGACAAATTGCAAATAGATTCCATAAAATCATAAATGTGCAGAAGAAGAAGTTATATTGCCAGCCCTCCCTAATGTCGGTATGCCAATAATGATGATGCATTGAAGCACTGAGGACAGAGATTGGAGTTCATTACTTCTTTAATCTGAGCGCTTTATTGTTTTACAATGTAGGACAGAGTGAGAGTGCAAAGCTCTTTCCGTGTTGAACTCTTGTTTTCCTTGGATTACCAGGAGTTTATGTTTAGCAGGTTTTCCAAACAAAATACCTCACTCTTTCTCAGTAGTGTTTATGCTACATGTAACATTACCCTTTGCTGGTGCATGCACTGGCAGGTTAAAATTAGACTTCCCAAATGTCAGTACAGCAGCTTGCTATTCGCTTACTTTAACAAGAGCATGCTACTTTAATTTGTTGTGACTTTCTTGTCTATGTTACTCTAAGCAGCAAATAAGCAAAATCTTACTCAGATGCTTAAGTATATATTTAAAGGATGCACACATAATGATGCGTATTTTGTTTATTCAAGTTTCAATCTGTCAGTGATCAAAATAATAGTAACAATACAAAGTGGCAAATGGATTACAGCTGATTATTCTGAAAGCAGCTTTTGTATTACTAATAATAGCAATAATGGTAGTTACTAGTTACTGAAGTACTTTACATTGCTTTAAACAAATTTGATCATATGTGCCTGAGAAGAAGAGTTGTTTTTTTTTCTCTAAATCTTGGCAGAAATAATGCATAAATGGTGATTTGCAAAGATATAATATTAGCTTTTAAAGCATATGTGGGAGTTTCTATGCCTTTTAAGTAATTTTTGATGAACAGCATTCTTTCAAAGAAGTAAAACTATTCTTATCCATTCACATCCCTTACGTGCGATTTGTGATGGTTTGGAGCAGGGCATGATAAAATGCGTACAAAAATGATGCTGAGTTTTATGTCAAAATCCTCTGTATGGATTTTGATCTGTATGTATGAGTTGATCTGTATGTCCCAGCATGCAGTCTGATGTGGCAGGGGCATGAGAGGCAAGAAAAGGTGTGGATGTGTAACATCCCTGTGTTTCCATGTTTCCCCGTGTGTGCGAGGTGTGTGTGTGTATGACCCTGTTTACGTAATATGGTAACAAGCATGCAACAGTACAGTTTATATCTCATTCAGCCCCTGGCTGTTAGTATCTTATAACTGTGCTTTTTCCTGGTCTCATAAAAGCTTTGAAAGACTGGTTCCGTCTGGCCTGGATTTCTTCTCTGGTTCCCTAAAATACCAGTGTCTTAGCCCATTTTTTCCTACTCTACTTTTCTGACTCCATCTTGCTCGTGTGCTGCCCACATCCAGAAGCGAGCAGTCCCTCTGCCCTTGCCCTCGTGAGTGCTTACACACAGTTTCAACTGAAAACACTATCTTGCCTACTGTCTCAAGGCTTAACAACAAATAGAAAAAAACCCTCTTCATTTAGTGCTTTATACACAGAGCAAAACAGGAAACACTTTGCGTAGTAGACTTTTAGTTAGTCCCTGTCTCTGAGAAAACCCGTTCCTGATATAAGGCAAGAAGACCCCATTTGTTTTTATGCTCTGATAGACGGCTTCCAAATCCAATGCTTTCCATTAAAATGGACATTCTGAAACAGCACACCTTTGATCTTTAAAGTTAAAATATTAGCCTGTGATACAGCAAGTATACACACGCGCACTTAATTTCCAGCATGTGAATATTTGCATAATATTCGTGGATGCAGTTCTTTGCTATCTAATTTCCTTACATACTAAAAAGAGTACCGATAGCTGTCACAGACCTTGCTATCTTTCCTCCTCTCCTCATCCAGCAAGCAGGACACTTATTTTTGCATGGAAATTAGAGCTGGAAGACAGTTTAGTCCATCTGTCTGCTAACAGTGGTTTGTTACTGATAGCTTATTTACTGGAACTTTGTCCAGTATACTTATCGCATATTACCAAACACAGAGTAGAGCTTACCGTCTTTCTTGGAACACATATCATTCCTGCAAAGTTGCTTCTGATATTCTGCCTACAATATCCTTTACTTATATTCATCACAATGCTTTAATCATAATCTCTTGCACAAGCCAAATTAATCTTTTTCTCCTCAGGCTGACATCTTGCAATACACATAGCTCTCCATATGTTCCAGTTAAATTACACTTACTTACCTTCTACTTTGAAGATAGTAAGGTGGGGTCTGCAGTGAAAAGCACCCAGTGCGTTGCCGGCACAGTTCATCCAAAGACCCTGGAAAACCCAGGTTGCAGTGATAACAGACGATGCTCGACTAGTGACTTTCCACTCATTCGATGCAGTAGCAGCAATAGCAGCTCCCAGCCCACAGAAACAAAATATGAAAGCTATAATCTGTATTCCTAGCATGTTTCTCTGTAACTGAGGGACTTAGTAATGCCACTGCGTGGAGAGAAAAGTACTTTAGTCATGTGAGTAAGCAAAAAGGCATAACATAAGCAAATTATACTTGAACAAGTTCAGTAACACTTGCTACAGAAAGTTAATGTCGCTGAAAGAAATTGTCATGCTTGAGTGATTTAAGAAAGGCCCTAGGCATTACAAATGTTTAGAAAGAAAGTCAAGGTACAACTTTATGGGAGCTAATTACTAGTACTTACTTACTAATTTCTAATTGTAAAAATTAATTAAAACATTTTCATATTTTTTTCAATTAAGGTATTCCAGTTAATGCTTAATTTTTAGTTAATTGGAAACTTACAACCATTGCATCTAGCAAAATAAGTTCAGAGTCCAAACTGTACAGTGCTATTTAACAGATTACCATAACATTTTAGAAGGATCACACAACACTTGAAAAATAAATTTTGAAAAGGCTGTGAAATTAATTCAGCCATAACTAGCCACCATACAAGCAGCTCTGAAACAGCAGCATCTTGGAGGCAGTGTCTGTGGATGTATTTGTAGAATAGCAAATCTAAAGTAACAACAGAAACAGCGAGTGGTCCCTGAGCAGTGATGCAGCTGCAGCAGTCAGCAGAATCAACCTTGTGTAGCCCCCCTTGAGACTTCTTCTTTGGTCAGTGTAGAAAATTTACTGCTTCTTATGATATGTTTGCTCTGCACGATGACCACAGCGCAGAAACATCTGTCCCACCACTGACTGAGCTCCTGCAACCTCATGCCATGAAAAATCCTCAAATAATATCACTGATTTAATAAAATGTCATCTTTAAAGTAGTAGGCACTGACAGCACCACACTGAAACAGCTGTTCTACTTCCAGTTCCTGAATATACTATCATTACTGGTGTGGGACCTACACACGGTTTTGCAGACGTGTGTGGCCCTCGCTCTTTTAAGATGCCAACTTCCCGCTTTATTCATGCCTCTCCTCATTCTCTGGTCCTTTTGGCCTTCTCTCTGAAGAAGGAGCATGTGTCTCTTCTCTTTGGTGTTACTGTATGCCATTTGGTGACATGAGATCACCCTGGATACTGAGCATACACCATCACTTTTGACAATGAGAGTAGTCTATTTTTTTCCCTTTGGGTGCTTCTAGTGTTGCTTCTCCCTGTTACAGCTGTGATAAACACCACACTGAACTTTGGCATTGGAATTTTTCTCCAGACTTTTCAGAGCTCAAGGAGGGGTAACCAAGGATGCTAAACCATCATTGACATTCCATGTGAAGAGCAAGAGGAGTTTCACTGAGACTGTCCTGTTGAACCATCAGCTGATACTTCCACTTTAACCAACCTTTGGCTCAGCGCTGAGAAGTATGACCCAAAAGTATGGTTATACAGACCAGAGAATTACACTACAAGAAGGAATTTCTTTTCAGAGTAATTCGTAGGCTCACATCCCACACACCAAGGGCAAACAGAAAGCTTTTTATTAACACAGCCAGCTTGAGAGACATGGAAAGTGGTTTTGCTACAGAGCAACACTATAGTATAGCAGGTTGTTTTAATGATGAGGACAATATTACACAGACAAGAAGCAATTTTTTCCTTGCTGTCAAATAATGCAATAATGTATTTTTCTTATGCCAAGGGTCAACCTTCATGTAATCCTTCATACATCTTGTCACTAAATTTGAAAGGTTATAGAGGAGAATATAGAAATGAGTCCATCTTTGAAGCAGATTCCTGAGAGCTAATATTCTTTTTGTGTTCTACCTCTGCCTTACAAAATGGTGGGGATTTTGGGGGGGGGGCTTGTTTGTTTGTCAAAGGCGGTGTTAGTTCACAGAGGAGACTGAGAAGAGATATCATCAGGTACCTTTTTTTTTTTTAACCAGCCCAGTGACGGTGATGTTGGCTGAGTGCTCAGAGAAACTCAAAGACATGTTTTACATCTGATGCTAAATTCAGGCCTTGTTCTGGACTTTCCCTGAGTGTTCTCCTTACTGATCCAGAAAAAAAACTGAGAAGCTGCTCATTTGGGCTGGAAAAGCAAAGTTGGCTGGATGCAAACACTGTCCCATCCCTCCCCACTCTGTTTTTTGCTATGCATAGCAGTATGCCTTACCAATGTAGCCTGTGAGGAGCTACCCAGGCTCAGCAGGACAGGGCTACCTGGTTACTTCTTAGTGACCCAGGCCAAAGGCAGCAGTGCCTCCTCAGTAAGACCTCGTTCTTTTAAACCGGTATCATGCTAGGAAGGGGCTTCACGGTCCTGTTTCTAGACAAACTGCAATATAAACTCCTAAGTCATTTCCCCTTCTCACTCTTCTGATCGTATACAAAGGTCCCATCCAGTACACACTCATGAGTGTCATGCTTGTGGGACACTGAAAGCCACTTACTTTAGTGGAAAGTGCCTGTAGGCACCACTTGAACTATAGACTACACTTTTAGGGCTTAAGGAGGACTTAGTGGTTTCTTGGCCTTTATCCTGATTCTCGTCCAGTGCATGACTGTGTGGAATTCATGGTTACAAGCACTTCACCCTGCATTGTTTCTAGGCAGTTAGTGTGTGAGTGATGAATAAATTAAACAGATACTTAAGTGATAAGAAAGAAGTAAGCAGTCCTGTTTACAACCCTCATTTCTTCTATAAACTGTCAGGAAGTAAGTTAATCAGTCATTTAAGAAGTTCAAGGCAAAGTTGAAAGTTAACCTGTTAATGGCATTTTCCATTATAGCAAAACTTCTTTTCTCTGTTACTGAACAGACAAAAGTTGGAAAACAGCTGGGAGCTTAAGGAGTGTTTAAATACGGAGCTGGAAAAGGGAAAACATTGCTACAGGCCTTTGTTGAACCATTTTCCCAAAACTCCACAAATACACTAGCTGATCATGTGACGTATCGCTGGCTCTGTTTAATTGAACACTGTGTCAGTAACATGTAATATTTCTATTACTACTGATATGCTCTTTTAAAATCAGTCCAGTGCCAGTTTCTAAACACAGCTGACGCCTTTGCAGCAAGGCAAGAATGTCTATACAGGTAAGCTGTAGCCTCCAGTTTGCAATTTCTACTTCAGCCTATGTTAATTGTTGTAACCTACTAGCTGGAGGAGGTCCCAAGGCTGGTATGTTGGCTAACACAGATCTGACTGCTGACAATATATGTTTCCCTTGTGAAGACATACACACTTAGCTAAACTGAATTAGTTGTGGGGAAAGTTATGATAAAATTAAAAAAGAACTAAGTGCAAATCAATCCTGATGTTATCTGGATAAGAAAAAGGAGAGCTCTGCAAAGGAGGTAGCTCAGGTAACATGGAGACAATGTGCCAGATAAATAACTAGCAATGCCAAAGACATTCCTCTGCAGGGTGGGGGGACAATGCAAATTGATCCTGAGCACTGTGGAGGAAGTTATGAGAAGCCTAAACAACCATGGAGAAGTTGGACAAGCAGTAAAACTAGAAGTTACAGAGACTGAGTAAGCGACTCAAGACTTCTGGAGAAGCTGAAGAAGTAAAAGCATTGTGTAAAGCGGTGAAGAAATCAAAAAGCCTGGAGACATCACTACTCAATACAGGCAAGGGCTAAGCTGTATGGCAATATGCCTGGGCCAATAACACAAATGCAAAAAGGGTTCCTGAGAACTGGCAGTGAAGTATGAGATGGTGTTGAAAGTAGGAAAGGTGAATTCCAGTTGAGTGCCAAATCCTGCCGTCTCTTCCAGACGCATGTACCCTAGAAACTCTGGGTAAACAGGGTAGCAGGCAAAGGCTGAAGGGGCACCACCTAGAGAGGAATTTCAAGGAGCAATGAAATCACTGGGAATGAGAAAGTTGAGGGAAAAGACGATTTCACAGTTTGCTATAGCAAAAGAACATCAGGTTATACCAGTATGAAGCGGTTGCAGCAGTTTGCTGCTCACCTTGTTACTCACAAAGTGCTGGATGACATATGCAAAGAAGGTAATCTCAGGCTCATTCCAAATTTGTTGCTTTTTATTGAGCACTGCAGTCACAATACAATAATATGATTATAATATTAGTGTTACATACTGTAGTATAATCCTATTATTAATAGTACACTTGCTATATTGCTGTAGAACAGAAAGAGAAACTTCATGTACTCATCACTAGGAGAATTGCTTTGAGAATACATGGATACAGCAGGTTAACCTTGTTTTTTTCATCATGTTCCTTAACTGGTCATTAAGGATAAGAGATGGCTTTGAAAATGTTACTTTTGGATGATCTAGCATTAGACTCCTTAGTTTATGCTGTTGACACTGGACACTAGCAAACATCTTTGGATTAAAGACGTTTGCTATCGTTAAGTGTATTGTTATTGTTGGCACACTCTGCCTAGTGTGCAGTAAGTGGCAGAAAGCCAAAATGGTTAAACTCCAAAATGCAGAACTCTAAAATGCAGTGAAGTTGAAATGGTAGGACAAATCGTATGTTTGAACAGTGCTGAAAGCCAGGGTGAAATTCAAGGTCATTGTGCTTCGCTGAGAACTTCTGAACAGACTTTGATGAAGTGGTGGGCTCAATGAAGACATCATGTTTTTTATAGAGCGAACTCATCAAACCCAGCCACTATTAGAATTAGCCTGTGCTACAGTATACTGAGAGCATTACTGGAAGCAGTAGTATTAGACACGAACAAGCAGCAGGGTGCCGTGGACAGAAGAGTTCAATGCTTTGAAAGATGGCAGATACAAAGTGAAATGATTGCAACACAGATGAAGAAGGAAGGAGGCTGGGAAACAGGGAAAGGGGGTAATAACAGAAATATTGTGATGTAAGTGCTACAGATAAATATAAACACTGAAGAAAAACATCACAACGCTGAAAAAAAGCATTAGTCTGCC